GCAGAGGGTAGGTTTAGGTTAGACATCAGAAGGTGCTATTTCACGGTCAGGGCGGCTAGGGTCTGGAACCAACTTCCAAGGGAGGTGGTGCAGGCTCTTACCCTGGGGGTTTTTAAGAAGAGGTTAGATGAACACCTTGCTGGGGTCATTTAACCCCAGTACTCTTTCCTGCCATGGCAGGGGGTCGGACTAGATGATCTTCTCAGGTCCCTTCCGACCCTAGAAACTATGAAACTATGAAAACTGGGACTAGTAGATATAGAATGGTTTGCATTATTTTTATCCGCTATCACTGTGTATCAATAACATTTGCCTATTATTGAATGGAAAAAATTGTGGTCCATCTGAGGGTTTGGGCCTGTTCAGATCAAGGTGTCTGGGTCATAAATCCAGTGCCAACATTAGAGACACTATAGGTATCCAAGTACATAGTTCCCCATGCTGCTACTTACTGATACCCCTTTTCTGGGAGCCTTCTAATGATGGACAGTGTTTATACATAAGCTAAATTACATAAATATTTACAAGTTTAAATTGAATCCTTTATCAAAACCAAATAGACTACTTCACTACTTCCCCTGTACCAGACATTCACTTCTTTATCCAACATACTCTCTGTGCTTAGTCACTTCAAAACTTGCATTTTCAGTTAAAACAGGTCAGTGCTTACCTACCTACCTAGAGGTCCGAGTTTGTTTGTTTCTTTCTTTCTTTCAAGAAGAATGTATTATCCCACCATTTTCTATCATTTTCCCCTTAGATTTAAGCAACACAGACATAGTATTAAATAAATGGAAAGTACACTGACCAGCATCACCAATGTGAACTGGTGCTCCATGTGACTCCTTCAATGGATAAGTTGCTAGCACAACTGCTTCTAATTTGTCTTCAGGAATGGGTCTCATTGTGACCACTAAGTTGCAGCAAAAAGTAGCGACACTGAGGCACGGTACATCTGTCTGATAAAATGTAAAAAGGACCCAGGATGTTAGCAAGAATCTGCCTGAAGACTAATTTTCAGTTAAAAAACTACTACAATATATGCCACTTTATCACATTCACATATTTAAATTGTTTGCATAATTCCTCATAGGACAAAATGTGTCTCCTAGCTATTCAGTCATTTTTTCCTGCTTTTTTGCATTTTGGCTTTGAGTATATTTCAGTTTATTGAATAAGCCAAAAAAAGTGTGTGGGAGGGGACCCCAAAGCACCCAAATATTGCTCAGTTGAATAATGTAAAGAGTGCATAGTGGACAGAGAGAGATTTCTACTCACAGCAGAATTTATTCTTGTATTCAAAACCTTGTCTAACTTTATCTCAACTATATAGCTGGTCCAGTAAAAGATAAATCACCCTAAGAAATCCTTGCCTCTCATATCATAAATGTTTCAAATCGTGAAACATTTTTGTAATATGGTGAATTTTGTTGTATCAAATTAATAAGCACATTTCACCTGGGAAGTATAGTTTGTGTGTTTCCTGTCTTTAACTGCCATTAGCTGCCATATTAGAATACTCATTCAATGGCACATCTAAAAGAAACAGAATTAAGTCTGTGTGTGTGAGGTTTTCTTTCTTAATTTGACCATAGGCACATGGTCAAATTAGAGAGTACAATGGGGCCTAAGATTCAATTGAGAATTGCTGTTCAGTTGTATGATTGTACAATTGAACAGCTATAATTTTCAATGTATTTCTAGAAAGTCTGACCTGACCAAAAAACAATAGTGAAACAACTTGAAATGCTATCTTAGGGCACTTGTACATGTAATGGGGGTTTAGTCTGCTAAACTGATATGGTGGGTTTTTAATTGCAATAATTAAATATTTGCACCATTTCAATGTAGGGGCTTAAATCACTGTTACAGTGAGGGGCCCAATATTCTTTTCTTCTTTTTCACAGAGCCTGCTCACATCTCCTGCAGTGGCATGGCAAGCTGCCAGCGGGCTGAGGCCCCTGAGCTGTGGGGGGCCCCAATCCTTCTTTCAGTGGCAGCAGCACCCCCAGGACTGCCCAGGTGAGTTGGTAGTGAGTGGGTTCTGCCCCAGCTCAGGCTCAGGGAACAGTTGGATTGGGCCAGGTGCTACCTCTGAGCCAGGGCAGCACTCGCCCGCTAGCCACTTGCTTGGGCAGCCCTGGGGGCACTGCAACCATGGAGGGAAGGACCAAGGCCCCCCCCTACAGCTCAAAGCCTGCCAGAAGCTCACCCCCTGGCTGTGGGAGAGGCAAGCAGGCTCTGCAAGGGAAAAAAAAGGATCAGGCCCCTTGCTGTCGCTGAGGGCCCTGGGCCTTTCCACCACAGTGGTGGTGCCCCCCCGGCGGCTGGGGGGCATGGCAGAGACAGGAGCACGGCAGTGCCAGAGGGAGCGCAGCAGTGGTAAGCAGGGAGCTCCTGCAGCTGCCACCAGTGCTGTCAGCAGTGGCGGGGGGTGGCAAGCGCTGACCAGGGGTTGGCGACCACCTGCAGACTGCAGCGGGCAGCACTGGCGGCACCTGTGGTCAGTTGCCGCTCGCCGCCCCTGCCGCTGACATCGCTGGTGGCATCTGCGGGTGGTCAGCAATTGCTGCTGGCCACCACCAATGCTGCCAGCAGTGTCTGCAGGCAGTCGCTGACCGCTGGTCAGTGCTCACCACCCCTCCCCCCCACTGCTGACAGTGCCAGCGGCATCTGCAGGAGCTCCCTACTTACCACCACTGCGCTCCCTCTGCCATCACTGTGCTCCTGTCACCGCCATGCCCCCCCAGCTGCCAGGGGCACGCAGCATTCATGCAGGTGCTGCCCCAGCTCAGAGGCAGCACCTGACCTGATCCAAGCCTAAGCCGAGGCAGCACCCACTCACTAGCAGCCCACCCATGTGGTCCCAAGGGGCGCTGCCACCGTGTAAGGAAGGACTAGGGGCACCCCACAGCTCAGGAGCCACTCATACTGCCGGCAGCTTGCTCACTGGCTGCAGGAGATGCAGGCAGTCTTTATGGGAAGAAAAAAAAAGTATCAGGCTCCTCACCACTTCTGCCTTCAACCCACCTTTCCTATGGCAGCGTGGGGGGAGGGGGAAAGAAGGGGGAGCTGTCAAAAAGGCTGCAACATTACAAATAGCTACATTGCAAACCAAAGTACAAGGTGATGTGGTTTAGTTTGCAATGTAACAACTCATTTAAATTGTAAAGAAAAACCCCACAGGTGTACAGAGTGACTCAAAACTGCAATTTTTCATCATGTGTACAAGCGCCCCTAGGATCAGGAATTATACTACCTGCTTCTGGTGCATCTCCCCTCCCTTCTGTTTACTGGCATAGTCCACTTATTTGCATAATTTTAAGAGAAAATGGCCATGTAAATAAAAGGAATCTACTGTACTATATTGAAAGTGAAAAGGGGCACCATTTATGATACAATTTAAATGCTCTTGTGAATTTTGTTTCTTGCATCCAATTAAAATAATCAGTTTTTCACAACAATCATTAGTGCAGAAACCAAACAATCTGCTCTTTAATTCTTATTAGCAAGATGCATCATACTGCAACATTCTGAATCATTTTAAAGTCTAAATCCATATTCAGTACTTACAGTATGCAACTTGGCAAGAACATATATTTCAGATAGACTTTCTATGGTAGACCTAGTGCTATATTCTTACAGAAGGTTAATGAAAGCACAGACACAGACTGATGGGCCCAAACCATTCTTGCATGCTAGAATAAAAGGAAACTATAATCCAGCCAAACTCCTATAAAAGTGCAGGGGTCAAACCTACTGGTGCCAGCTGCCCAATACTAGTAATCTCATATTATCATAGCAGGAATACACAAGTTTCATAGGGCCATTGCCTTTTTTTATGCAAAAGAGAAGCCACAGATTGACCTGAAGGAATGTTAAGGTCCTGACTATCAGGATGTTGATGAGTCATTCCTATTCAGAAAAACAAGTCTAGATAAAATGGCACTCAAGAAGTGGTAAACAAATTATATTATCTGCATGGGAAATATTTAAACGCCATTAGATTTCAGTTATAAAGTATAGAAATATAATTAAGGAGATAGGTGCCACACGAACGGTCTATGTTAATTTTATATTATTACCATGTTGACAATACTGCAATAAAGAAGTTTTCCTAATTCTAGAAAGTAATCCTGCTTTACAAATCACTGCATGTTTTTCCTTCAAGCTAAAGTTTTACACAAGGTCTCAATACAAGTGATATTTTTTCTCTTCACTGAGAAAAAAAAAAGTCAGTGAGCACATCTACACGGGATGTTTACTGCACAGTTGACTAATTACCTGCACACTAAAATGTCTTAGTATCTACATGTGAGCCCCTATTAGGGCACACGAAACTAATAAACTCTGTAGCAGGGTAGTACTTGTATTTATAAGTACTACCCTGCTGCAGAGCTTTTTTGTGTGCAACAGTGCATGGGTAGATGCTGTCCCAGCAGGCTAGAGCATGAGAGTCCTTCAGTGAGGGGCTAGCCACCAGGTAGCCCCTGCACTGAAGCACCCGCATACTCCAGCCACTCCATAGCACATGGATCCGGGTTGGAGCAGCCCTGGGCTGGCAGGCTAACCCCCACCAGGCATCCTGACAGCCCAGGCTGCTCTGACCAGAGTCCACATGCTGCGCATGAATAAACTCCAGAGCAATATGCTCCAGAGTTTTTTGCTCCTGGGTGTACAGTCAAATGGCATGCCTGGGAGTGAAAAAACTCCAGAGCAATAAGCTCAGGAGTTTATTCATTAACATTAATCACATGTGTAGATGCAAATCATTGCCTAGTAGAGCTACACTTTGAGTGGCCTGAAAAAGCATGCAAAGATACTAAAAATGGTTTCTTAATCATTAACTTTGTATTTATTGGACATGGTCATCACTGCAAGTTTTTACAGAAAAATGTGCCAGTACAATTGCCTGAACCTAGATGTAATTTAATTACTTTCTTACCTTATACATGCTTACATTACATTTCTGCTCAATATTCCTTACAGGAACACCAACTTTCTGGACTTCCTTTTCAAATGAGAAGCTGCAGCCTAAGTAGAAAGTCACCATGTCTTTAAGCTGGTCAGAATACTCCTTCAAACTTGTCAGAGTTCCAGTACAAAGTCCATACTCGTATATTCTGTACTGCAGGCAGTCAGTTCTAAGTGGCGTAAAGGAACAGTCTATCAGTTTCACATCTGTCCCAGACTTTTAGTAGAATGAAACATTATAAGAAGAAATGCTGATTAATCGATGTTAATGAAACGTTAAAGCACGTGATTTTTCCTGTTCTGTCCATTTTGTTTGCCTTTCTGGTGCCGGTCTAGGTCACAAGAATAGAAAAGTCTATGTGTTCCACACATTTGCTACAGAAAGCCAGAAACTGGGTACATGTGATGAAGCAAAATGCACTTTTTGCTGTGAACAGGTGAAAGCCCTAGAAATTCCCCATTTTGCTCAAAAACAATGTCTGTTAAACATTTTAAAGTTCTGTCTCCTGCTTTGACCACTTGCTTCAGAAGTCCTTCCAATTCCCAGACTATTCCAAGTAACGCAGAGTCACCATATTAGTGCTGGTATTGAATAAAATTAGGAAGAGGGGTGGGGAATACCATCAGCTGACTCTCAGCTGAGAGATCTTTGATCTACTGGAAGATCTTTGCAACTAAACAAAACTTCTTTTTTGCCGTCAGTGAAACATTGACATTATGGTAAGGATCATTTTGTCAAACTATTACGCCTATGTAGTCAATTGACTGTTGTATACAATAAGCTTTATTTCTTCTCAGTTACTTCAGTTACAATTCTGTGGATGGCCTGTACTCTAGAAAATGTTATTGTCCAGTTAATCCTAGCTTTCACTTAGACCTTGGGACAGTTAGAGTCATGTCCACACCTACCTAATATCAGAATTGCTGCTCAGAGAAGGGCATTTCCAGTCACCGGGCTTGCTTCTGTACAGCAGTGGCAGAGGCCCATTATTTGCTCGGCAAAACTTTTCAAAGTTGTCAGCAAGGGATTTATGCAAGATTACAACATTTGCCTGCTTATAGCCTAAAATATTATAAGAAAGAATTATCAGTTATAAATTCAATTTGTATATATTTTACAGTATTATTTCTGTATGGATCTTACCTAGGGATTTTTTCTTTCCCAAAAAATCCCCTTTTGTTATTTATTTTTAAACTATAAAGGTAGGCTTCTAAACTTAAATAAAATTTCATTTTTTTCCCCTGAAGTGTTGCTCAAATTCACTCCTAGATATACACTCAATAGACAGTGCCCATTGTGGTCATTTCAGTTTTTGAAATACTTAGCATTCACATTTCATATTTTAGACCAGGGTTGATAGATTTTCTTTAATTAGCTATTTTATGAGGAAACTTGAAGTTTACAAAGGGGCTATTTGCTGAAACAGCCTGGCAAATCACAATGCTATGAAACATTTGATGTAAATGTTGGCATAAAAACACTGTAAAGTATCTTGTATATTCAGCATTTTTCTAGGGCTGACAAAACTGTGATGCAAGGCACATCTAATGAGTAAATAAATAAATCCTAGTAATCATTCAGTAAAATGGCTAGTTGTGTTTCAGTAATTGCATATGCACTATTTAAAATGTGGTCATTTATTTTTTAAAAGGATTCCAGTTGACTTTTAAGAACTTTTTACTCATTTCATTCAGGACAGTAATGCAAAATCCTTTTAACATAGGGCTTAATATTCATTTGTACTTGACACTTCAGACAAATAACATCTCTTTTAAAACAGTTTATAGTTTCAAAAGTACTGTGATTAAAACTAGTTTTAGAGGCTTATGTATAAACAAAGAGACAAGTGTTTTTGACAACAT